CTTATCTGTAGCGTTCATAACTTGGGTGACAGATCAATTATTTATGACATTTGTCTGCTCTTTACATAATTGGTATTCCCACTGAAGTCAAAAAGAACTCTGTGTGCTTGACATTTGGGTGAACATTTGGTGGATGAAATCATGCCTTTTCCTTAGGCCTCTCCAATACAAGTGCTTTGTAGATAAAGATTTCAGCTTTGTCCAAGAAATCAGCTCTCACATTTGCCTGCTATGCATGGAACTGGGACATGATTGGGATTGCAAAATAAAACAATTTAATGCTCCTCTGTTCCCAGCAAAGTTTTAGTTAATGTCCTTCCCAACCCTTAGCCCCAGCCCTTCAGTTAAAGTTCAACCATTTGGGTTTTGAGTGCAGCACAGTGACTGATGCCATCAGGCACTGAAACTCCACTTTCTACTGGCGGGAACCAGGCAAGAGGAGAGCAGCGCCAACCCTGTTATAAAATCCCTGCCTGTTAGGATCACACCCAACACAATGTAGCAGAGAGGCAGAGTCTCCTGTTGTTTACTTGTTGGGAAATCAGGATGCCTCCAGTCAAAGGGAGCCCATTAGGCCTTGAACCAAGGACTTTTCTCTATTAAGAGAAACTGCCTCAAGTGTCTCCCTGTGGAGTCTAGTCTGTGGTAGCTCCTGTGACCTTTAAAGACCATCTCTAGTGCATAACTGATTTTTATAGGCCCTCTAAGGAGGATTTAGTCTATGTATATTTCCAATAACCATCTGTGATTTCAGTGAATTTGTCTACTTAAGTGGCCCTTGTAAACAGTCACGATCCATCACTCCGGCTCTCTTAGTTGAGACTTGGAGCTGATAAAACCGCAATGAATATTTCTTGCTGYGTGACAGACTATATATCCACCATGAGTGATGCATCGTTAAATCGGTGAGCCAACCATGAAATCTAATAGCTTAGGAAATATTCTTCAGAACGCTTTCTCCTCTGGCTTCTGTACAACTAGGCAGGCTTTTTAAAAGAACACACACACACACATACACACACACAGACACACACACACACACACACACACAAACACACACACACACACAAACACACACACACACACACACACACACGTCTGGGTTATTCCTGGAGCTCTAGGAAACATTTTCTGGACTGAGGGCCATGTGGATTACAGTCACCACCAGGAAGCTCTCTATGAACCATGTGGCTAGCATGGAGGATGACTGCTCAGCACAGTGAATATTTGATTTGCTGACATAAAACAGTATTTATGCATTCTGGCCAAGATAACCCCATATTGTCAGTAATAACAATAAAAGAAGTCAAGGGTTCCTGGAAAAGAACTTTTGTGTTTATATATTAAGGATCAGCATTCAATGAAGCTATTGTCATCTTTCCAGTGCTGCCCCATTATCTTTCTCACCATCTCATTTCTTTCTTTTTCTTTTTTTGGCACTGGGGATGGAACTCAGGGGCACTTAACTGCTGAGCCACATCCCCGGTACTTTTTTGTTTCTCCCACTTTTTTTTTTTTTGTATTTTATTTAGAAGCAGGGTCACACTGAGTTGCTCAGGGCCTCACTAAATTGCTAAGGCTGGCTTTGAACTTTCAATCCTCCTGCTTCAGTGTTTCAAGCCACTGGGCTGGGATTACAGGTGTGTACCTGGCTCACCATCTCATTTCTGACTTCTGTGATTGTAGAAACCATACCTAGCACATCTGTGCTGGCAGTCTCGAGACCTTGGAAGGCATTTTAAAATATTTGTTGCATGAATGAATATTAAATAAAAATTCTCTGCCATTAAGGAATCTCCAAGAGCTCTAGGTAGCATTTTCCGTCTTGGTGACCATCGTGGGCAAAATGCTTTTATGCTAGAATTCCAGTAAGAGCATTGAGCCTGGCATCTTCTTTCTTGGAAGTCCTTGTCACTAAGTTCCCCTACATTATATGACACTGGCATCTTTGGTTGCTCTCTTCTTCTTTCCCATTCCTCAGTATTTATGAGGCCCCCACTCGGAGCCCAGCATGTTTGCAGTTTGTATTTCACTAGTATCTTCCAGGCTCAGAACTCTGCTCTACATTCTAGGAACCTCTGGACATATGTCTCCTTAGGGTAATCTTGACCACAGTGTGTTGGTTATTGCTGGATTTCTTATCTCTCTTCCCCTTAGACTGTCAGCTCTATGAGGCAGTGTTGGCTTTCCTCTTTACTTCTGACATCTAATGCTGTTTGACCCATCAGGGGCTTACAGACTGAATGAGCAAATGACTTAAAGAAATGAATGAATAAAATGAGCGTATCCACAGTTAGATCAACTTTAAAAAAACCCTTTTATTGTGTATATTTAAGGTATGCAACATGATGTTATTTATTCATTTATTCATTGGTACCAGGGTTGAACTAAGAATCTCTTAGCCACTGAGATAGTCCTTTGTTGTTGKTGTTTTTTATAGCTTAAAATTTAAAAAAAAATTTTGTTCTTTTTAGATATACATGACAGTAGAATGTATTTTGACATATTATACATACATGGAGTATAATTTATTCTAATAGGATCCCATTCTTGAAATTGTATGATATGGAGTTTCACTGTTCATATATTTATGATATGTCTGATTCATTCTATTSTCTTTCCTATTCCCATCTTCCTTCCCCTTCCTTCATTTCCATTTGTCTAATCCAATGAATATCTATCGCCCCCCACCCCCACCCCTTATTGTGTGTTAGCATCCATATATCAGAAAGAACATTCAGCCTTTAGTTTTTTGGATTGGCTTATTTCACTTAGCATGGTATTCTCCTGTGCAACATGACGTTGAGGGATACATATAGTTAGTAAAAGTGATTGAAGCAAATTAATGTATCCATCACCTCATACAGTCACCCTTCTTTTGTGTTTTGGGGGCCAGAGAAGCTGAAGTTTACTTATTTAGCCTGAATCCCATATGCAGGACAACTTCATTACTTAGAGTCCTTCTGGATCTCCGTCCTTGTTCATGTAGTCAGGTCATCTTTAGGCATTTGTTTTCAGATGGAGGATAGAAATGTGAGAGCCTGAGGACCAGAGTACGTGGCTATTGTAATTAGTGTGTTATTAAGATCTGTCAGCTGGACTTGTCACTACTGAACTGGTGCCTCGAAGGTGCATGTCTCATTGCCAAGTGACAAGCTAAAAAAAATAAAGGAAAATGATGTTTAGGGAGATACAGCACTAAAAAGTATGTGCCTGGTCACCAAAATTATCAAATGATTATAGGCCAGGACTTGAAATGAATTAAATCAGGCCTCATAGTTACACAAAAATATTAAAAAGAACTGTGAGTCTTCACTTCCTACAGGGCGAATCTTTCTGGTTTCTCTGTGACACAGAAGTCTTTATGTCTAGGGTTTGAAGGTGAATAAAAAGCTCAGGGGATCAAAAAAATACACAAATAAAGATTAAATAATACATCAGATGAGATGGTTTTCAGAATACATAATTGTACAAATTGAAAGCAATGAATGGTTCAAACTTAAAAAAAAATAAAATATAAGTAAGCCAGGCAGGGTGGTGCAAGCCCATAATCTCAGCAGCTCAGGAGGCTGAGGCAAAAGGATCTCAAGTTCAAAGCCAGCCTCAGCAACTTAGCAAGGCCCTAAGTGATATAGTGAGACTCTGTCTCAAAACAGAAAATGAAAAGGGCTGGGGATGCGGCTCAGTGGTTAAGTGCCCTTGGGTTCAATTCCTGGTTGGGTTCAATTCCTGGAAAAAAAAAAAAAAAAAAAAAAAAAAAAGAAAGAAAGAAAGAAAGAAAGAAAGAAAGAAAGAAAGAAAGAAAGAAAGAAAAAGTAGTATATGTGTCATCAAAATGAAAATAGTACAAAGGAAATAGTCTGGTAAGACTGGTTCTTCTCAGAGACTACCTCTTAATTGTCTATGTAGTTCCCACTTAGTGTGGGTGCTATATTTGTAGCTCAGTTCTGTGATAAATCACCTTATTTATTGACAGCTACCCAGTGTATAAGATAAGGATAAATTTAGTGCACTTGGATCTCTTTCTGTTTCTTTCAACATTTTATAATGAAACTACTTTCAGTTCTTTTGTTAGTCATTGCTGTAATCCTCAGTACTTTACCTGAGTTACTCCATTTTTTGGATTCACACAATCTCTGTTGTATTTCTTGATGCTTCATCCTATYCGATGAGGGTGTCCATGCCATTACACTTTCTACCTCCTAACATGGAGTGTATTAGTATTTACCTTCTGTCCTGTAGGGAGGGATCTTAATGATGATTCAAAGGGAAAATTGAAAGTTGAAGACATAGTAATTTGCATGGGTCTCTTAGCTGGTTAATGCTAGAGCTGGGGCTTAACCTTGGAACCTTTGACTCTTGACCTAGTGGACTTTCTGCAGAACAATTCTGATTCATTCGTCAAATGCTCATTGAATACCTTCTCTTCTGCAGGAACTGCACTAGGTGCCAGATCCTTGGTTTGGTAACTTGTAAACTTTCTCCTTTTTTGTACTCAAAAACAAAATTAAATAATTTTGGATCTGATGCTCAAGATTAGTCAAGTAAGAAAGACAGACACATCAACAGTTAACTAGTTCCACTGCAAGAATGCACAAAGGAAGGTGTTATCTGAATATATTTATTTTTAATCCCACAGATAAGAGATTAGAGAAACTGATCTATGAGAAGTGACAACTCGAATATGTTGAGAAGACAGTGTTCATCCATTTACACATGTTTACGAAAATAAGACTTTGCTGACGTATTTTCAAGAAACTTAATAAATGGTCTCTTTCAATCAAATATGAAAGGAAAAGAGCTTAGAATTTTATAATTATAAATTATATAATGTATGTTACGTTTTATGCATTCAACTGGTTTTTATGTGTCACAATATTCTTCAATTGCCTTATAGGTTTGTTCATTATTTTCCCCTCGAGTTGAAGGCTGATGCCTATTTTTGGAGATCCTTGGTTTGGTAACTTGTAAACTTTCTCCTTTCTTTCTCCCTCCTTCAGATTTTTATCACCGTGAATTGCCTGAGTACAGATTTCTCCTCCCAGAAAGGAGTGAAAGGACTTCCTTTGATGATTCAGATTGATACGTACAGTTATAATAATCGTAGCAATAAACCCATTCACAGAGCTTATTGCCAGATCAAGGTCTTCTGCGACAAAGTGAGTAAAGATGACAGTTTATCATAAAGGTATCTTTGTTATTAGATATTGCCTTTAATGACATTTCCCCCTTGTCACCTTCTCTTGTCTAGTAGTGTCAAAATGATGACTTCATCAATCACCATGGGTGTGGTAATCTTTTAATTCTCAGTTCCCATTAGATGGCTAGGAAGTGACCAGTCTGGTTTTCTTTTTGTGTGTGTGGGATAAAAATTTTATTTCAATTAAGAAAAATCTTTTTTTTTTGAACAATACAGATTACTAACAACTTCTTAATCAGTTGGAAAACAGAAATATTTTAGGAACAGTATCTGCATTACCCAGAATTCTATTGATATTTAAGTAAAAACTTAGCTGAGGATTTTTTAAGAGTCTTTTTTTATTAAAGTCAGAAAATAATTTGAATATAAAGACTAAATTTGATTGAATAGTACTCTATTGAATCTTCAAATATACAACAACACTGAATCAAGTCAAAATTGTTTCATGATTTCAATCATGAAAATCAGTGTTTAGAAAAATTCATATAAGAAATTACCTACAAAATTTGTAAATATCATTAAAATTTAATGTACTAACATTCACATTATATTAAATATTTATTAATATTGARTGTTTATACTCCATTTTAAGTAAATTTCACTTTATAAACATTTTGCCTTTAAAGAATAATTAGGAAGAAATTATTTTCCAAATTACTGTAAATGACAACAATTATAGCAATAAAAAKAAAAATTCAATCATATTTAACAGGCACCTTATTGTATTATGACATTGGCAAAACTAACCAGACATTGAAAATAATTGACACTATACAGAATTAAAAATTGATGTATGTCTGGTGCCATAGTGTATACCTGTAATCCCAGAGACTCTAGAGACTGAGACAAGAGAATCAGGAGTTCAAATCCAAYCTCAGCAAAAKCGAGGYGTGTTTTTTATTTTTTTAGTTAATCATTTTACAACTGTTTTAATGATTGATTGACATTGCCCAGTGTCTTGGTCAACTCAGGCTACTGTAACAAAATACCACAGACAGGGTGGCTTCGACAACAGAAATTTATTTCTCACAATTCTGGAGGCTTAGAAAGTCTAAGATTGAGGTGCTGACTAGTTTAGAGGTGAAGGTCCTCTTCCTGCTTATAGGTGTCATCTTCTTTCTGTGCCCTCACATGATGGAGAAAGAAAAACCACTTGTGTGTCTCTTTTTATAAGGACACTAATTGCATCATCAGGACCCCACCCATACCACCTCATTTAAACCGGGGCCCCACCTCCAAACATCATCACATTTGGGTTAGAGCTTCAGCATACGAATGGGGCAGGGACAAACATTTGGCCTATAACCCACTCTGTGCTATGGTCTGATTTGATTAGATAACTGAAATAATAGATCAATAGTTTTTATTGCATGTAGATACTATCTCATAACATAGCAATGTAAYTTTATGGGTTAAATGGGCCTTATCTAGGTCTTTTTAGAATGGAAACACCACCTGTAAAGTGAGTTCTTTAGTATACATGCACTCAGTAAACATGTGCTTTGAATCTCCCTAAACTTTACCATAAATATGGCTCAGCAATTAGAATAGCAAAGTTTAAAATCCCTTGGCTAAGTTACAAGAGATCCTCACAAATCCAAATATGAGTGGGACTAAGCATCAGTAAAGAGATCCACAGCTAAGAGGGAAAGTCATGGGGTAATTTGATGGCCGAAGAGCAGGAAACCCTCCAGTAATCCCAAGGGACACCCCAGTACTACCCTAGACAGCACAGAAGTGGAYATTCTGAGCATGGTGTGTGTGACTAGGGTGGGAGAGAACAGAGTCTGTGGACTCCAGTTTTCTGATGAGTGCAAAGGGATTGCATATGGAAATGTTTTGTTCTTTATAAAAAGTGATAAACTGAAGTTTTCTTTTAGAACAAAATCTTGTTCTGGGGAAAATTGCTGAGAGTAGAATCAAATTGAGTTTGGGTGAAAAGAAAAGGGAAAGTTGAAATATTAAGATTCTTTTGTGAACACACTAGAAGAGATTGTGAGCCCGGAGGAAGTATGCTGGCCCATATATTTCACTTAAAATTGGCCAACAGTAAACTGTCAAATCCCCAAAAAAGAGATTAAGATCAGATTTTCCTATGGGCAATGAATGCATGTTGCAAAGACATCACCTTAAACTGGTGAAAGCTACAGTCCATGGTTCCAAATGAGCTAAATGAAGTTAAGAATACAATAAAGTTAGGAAGATCAATATAAATCACAATTGGAAAAACTCATACACATGATGTTGGAGAAAAGATGATTTGAAAAGATATGTGTTATAATTCAGGAAAGAATTTAGAAATAAAAGAATAAAATATTTCGGAAGACAACACAGAAAGCAACAACACAGTGCATAAATAMGACAGATGACATCATAAGGAAACGTAAGCCGGAAAGTGGTACAGTTTTTAAAATTGGAAAAAAAGAATTATGACCGAAAATAATAAATATAAAAAAGAAATTTATTTTCTTTACTTTATAAATATATTTCGAATATGTGTGTATGTATTAGAAATTTTTGAGCAAAAGACAAAACGATGGAATAGAACAAGTGCTAAGAATGATAAATTAGGAAAACTTGAAATGGAAAGTATACATATTTAAATGGTCTATCATATACTTGGCAAAATTGACCCAGGATAACTAGTACCAAGTAGTTGAGCTATTGGCCTTTCAAAACTAGAAAAAATATTCTTTGGAGAACTAAGTAAGATAATCAGTCACTAATAAGAAACATTTATCATCAAACTTCAATAGCAATGCCTTGTCAAAAGACCATGATATTTAATAGATAAAGAAAATAGAATCAAGAATTTTATATCCAACCAAATTAACTTTCAGGTGTAAGGACTGTAGGCACAAGAAGCCAAAATAATAATAATAATAAAAAATAGCAACAACAACAACCTTCCCACCTAATTTAGTGAACATTCCCTCTTGGAAAATTTAGTAGAGAATGAACTTTAATGGTAACGTCTACAGCATTGATAAAAGTGCTGATGGTGAGCATGAAGAACATATTTCCCTATAAATCTGATTCTACATGATGGGAGAGACAGGATGGTCTGATGATGTAGACATAATACAATTATTTAAAAATYGGAGAGGATGAGGAGACTGTATGAAAAATAGAATAAGCTGACTAACTGCTGTTAGGTATGAACTGTGAGTGAAAGGACATTACTTCAGATTAGATGCTGGGGAAAAAGAGGCCAGTAGCTGGTCGGTACTGCCCATTGCTCKGAAATCAAGAGCCGCAGTCCTTATGTTAAAGGTCTATAGTGACATTAAAATATCCAAAAGTTAGGGTTTAGCAGTAAAAGGGCATGGGGAGAAGTGGGCTCCATGAGCTGAGAGCAATGACAGCAGAAGGTAGAAATGATCAAGAGAAGGGAGACGTAGTAGCTTCTGCCACACAGGGCTGGAGGGACATGCAGCATAGCAATGTGCAGCCCTTAACTCAATAGCCTTTCAGGCCATGGTGATTGTAATTAGTGTCAATTACTCAATCCTCAGAGCAGCACCATGCTCTGAGGGACTGTTGGGCAGTCTCCATAACACAGCCCAATCACATCAGTGTACACTGTGGGTCTAAAGCCATAAACCACTTGGCCAAAGTCATACAGTAGAACAGAGCTGGATACAAATACAGGTCTGGTTCCAAAATCGTACTATTTTAATGAATTAATAACTTTACGCATAAAATAACAAAATGATAATTATTTTAAAACCTCAAAAAAGACCCAAGGTAGGCTTTAAAACCAAAAGAAAATCAGTTTGTCTTTAGTTCAGCATATTAAACATTAAGAAAACATTTCAAATTATGTACAGCATAGAATTTTCAGATGTATAAATGGGAAAGCATTTAGATAATTTGAATTCCCTTATTTATTCCAGAAATTCCAAGGGAGATGGTGGAATCCTCCTCCATGAAGGTTTACTCCATGGGAATAAGGAGTAAACTTAAAGGCAAGAAGAAAGGAAGGCAGGCTGGGGATGTAGCTCAGGAGCAGGGAGTTTGCCTATCACATATAAGGCCCTGGGTTCAATCTCTAGTACTCCCCCACCTTGGAAAAAGGAGGAAAAAGGGAGGGAAGGATGGGCTAGAAATATTTAACAACCAATTTACCTTTACTCTGGTAACTGGAATTGGGAATGGAAAAAAGAAAGCCTAAAAAAATGTTCATATAATTGTCTTGTTGCATAGTGTTGAAGTGATAAATGCCAAAAAACAAGACCAAAAACCTTGCAGAATGAATAGAGAATGTTATATTGAACATTAGAAAACTAGAAAAAGAGGGGCTTAAGAAACTAAGAGTATCTTATAAATTTTCATTCACAGTTTACCTCTAAAAGACAGAGGGTGGGAAAGAGGATTGAATGGGTTTTTCTAAAGTATTTACTGCCTGAACTCATGCTACCTACCAGGGTCATCTGTAGCAAGAAAAGAAATGGTTGGGAGGCTCACTTACCCATGTGGGCATGTTTGTAAACATAAATATCTCCCCCAAAAGAAATCAAGTTAACATACATTTTGTCAATCAGAAAATAGGTGGCATTTCCAGTAGCCAATTATTTCAATTAAGTAAATAATAGGGTGAAGTAGAAGAACATGGTTGGAGAATGTTGWGTTAATGGTATTTACTCTAAGTAACTAGTGAAGTAATGAGTTTCTAGTGGGTGTTAGAAATCATATTGCTGAGGATTAGGAGGGAGTCCAGAAACCCACATGGGAAAATCTCATGGTACCATGTAGGGGGATTGACTATAATTGCTGTCAACTTCTCTAATAAGCTGGATAGAGTCTTTTGTTATAATTTTTCATTATATTATATTTTACAYTATAAATAATTACTCCCCTTAGTGTAATCACTCCCCTATATTTATAGTTCTAATTTCAAAACCCAGGCAAAAATTCACTCCTGGGAGATTAGAAAGAGAAATAAAAATTTCATTTGTATATTTTTCAAATAGRTGTAAAAGTACAAATGCTTGATTTAAATTATCTTCTAAAACAAGGGTGGAGAACTATTCTATTTTTAAACCATAAGTTTCCTAATCACAGTCTAGAATCTTTAACAGATGCAATTCTGCACTATTTATAATCCTCCAGCTTAATTTCTAATTAATATACCTATGGGTCTACAGGTGGAAAATAAGGGCTTTCTCTATTTTTTTTTTTTTGTAATATGGAGACTTCTATTGAAATGCATCTTTATGCATTAGAAATTCAGAAACTAAGGCTGGGGATGTGGCTCTAGTGGTAGCGAGCTCGCCTAGCATGCACACCGGCGCCGGGTTYGATCCTCAGCACCACATACAAATAAAATAAAGATGTTGTGTCTGCCGAAAACTAAACAATAAATATTAAAAATTCTCCCTCCGCCACCCCCCTCTCTCTCTTAAAAAAAAAAAAGAAATTCAGGAACTATCTGTATAACTACCTAGATAGATAATTGTGTATACTATTTTTATGTCTACATTTAGTTACTTCCATAATCTTCCATGAAAAAAGAATTTGTATTATTGCAAACAGTAACTATACWGCACCGAAACTTGAGAATGAAGTTGCAATCTTAAAATAAATTTAAGAGAAACAATGTAAGTGTTAAATAAAAGATAGAAATAGCCATTCTCTCTCCAGTGTTGGCAAAAGCAATCACAATGTATTTAGAACTCTTCAGATACATTTTTCAAATTTAACACTCCATAGTGAAAGAATATTGAGATGGGGAAATTATTTTCAAGTGATAACTTTCATCCTTGTAGCAGACGGTACTCTTCTGGAAGAACTAGACCTTCTTTTTACATTTTAATAAGAATAGAAGTAGTGTTTTCTTTAAGCTTCAAGTCACAAATAATCCTAGCAGGGAAAGGATTCTTGAGAGACCTTAGGAGGGAAGCTATCTCCATCTTAATGGAGTAATTAAAACTTCCCTGGGGCATTGTCAAGTCAAAAACTTCATTTTTGCCAARCCCAAAACTTTATTTTAGAAAAGAGAACTGTGGTTCTCCCAAGAGTGTTTGGATATTGTTAGAATTCTTTTGTCATGTTGATATCTGGGCATTCTGGGAAGGAAATTCCTTATATAGAAGTGGCACCAAGACTGTGTTCTCTAGAGATCTGCTCTGTTCTATGTCAATCCCTTAGTTTTAGTACATCAAAGAATGCCTAAAAATCTACATTGAACATATATAAATCTTGAAAAAGAATAATCCCAGACCTATTCCTTACAGAAATAGTATTAAAACAACAACAACAACAACACTAATTTAGAAACAAAAGTGTTTGGCCAAAGCCAAACTTGGGATGTGTCTTGGATGAAATGTAACTTAGATGAGAGAAAGCCAGGATTCTATTCATGTTAAATACTATATTGCACAGAGTTCCCAACACAGAGAAAAATAACTTTTATAAACCTGAAAAAAAAAGTGAGTACTTTCCTTTATGAACTTTAATATTTTGGAGGGTCTCTTGCTAGTATTTCACATCCATTTGAGCAAGGTAATGTCTGCATTCAACCCTTTATTTTCTGAAAATGGTACRTTTTTCTAGATACAAACACTTTATAAAGAGGATATTTCAATAATTTCAATAATCTTCCCCTTGCTACGAATTTGYATAATCTGTGTCAATGACAAAACTAAAAGGGAACACTATAAAATAATCACTCCTCTTAGTGTAAGTAAAACAATTGTTCCCTTTGGTGGTTTTGGATATAAAAATATGTRTTTAAATTATCTGGCTTTCATACTGTAGCTATTCTATGGTATCTACGTAAATCTCTTAGAAATCACCCGGCACAGGACAAGTGCCATGTATGTATTGCTATTATTATTAATTCTTTAAGAACTGGCTCAAAAGCCATCTCCTTTAATACGCCTTTGTTGACCCCAAATCCCCAGTGTTATGGCTGGCCTCACCTTGGCCAGGATTGGCAATCCATTTTTTTTTAAAGAGCCAATTTGATAACAAAAAAGTTTATGACATTGTTTTAATTCAAACCATCTGTGTGTCTTTTTCTGTGTGCTGCCTGTTTTATGATCTTTGTCCCCTTTTGCATTAGTATGTTGTTCTTTTCATCTGTCTCATTATCTATTTAGAGTTGGACGCTTTATGTGATGTTTTATTGCAAGTATTTTCACTAAACTGTCTTTTGCCATTTCTTTATTGGCATGCAGAAGATTAACATTTTATCTTGTCAAATCACTTTTGTGTGTGATGATTTGGGAGCAGTTTCTAAAGAAGTAGAGCTTGGTGGCCAGACTGAGTTTCTCTACTCCTTAAATCTGCTATTACAAGGGGCAGGATCTGCAAATAAAGAAGTTGTATAGGCTGGGGTTGCCCGTGTGAATGTCATCTGTCTAGGGCATTATGAAAACATGATGCAGAAGAATTCTGCAAAAATGGAGAGAAAGCAAAAAGAAATCTTGCTGGAATATCTGCACTGGGGATAAGAATAGGGAAATTAGCTAGCAAATGACCAGGGTTGCAGCAATTGATGACAGGAAAGACTGATTAAGGTAATGATCAACTGGTTAAGCAGGGTGAGATTTAGTAACTTTGGCAAAGGAGCCAATGGAAAAATCAAATTGCAAAGGCAGAGGGGCAGACAGGAAGAGAATAGATACAACCTTGTCTATTTGGTTGAATGAGCACCATTTCTAAGAACATATGAGAATATTGATAAGGAAACAAAATTGTACTTGTGTGTACAAAGCGATCCCATATCTTTGTGTGGTCACAAAGGAAGGCAGGAATTCCCTCCCTTTTTCTACCACTGTGGTGATTTTTTTTAAAAGCTCATAACAAGCAAAGGAAAAAAATTTATAGGGATGTCACATTCCACTTTAAAGCCATCTCCATGACTAGGAATGAGTTTAATTGGTCAATGCTTCATCTTATGACGTTTTATTGTAATCACTAAAATTACTTACTGGGCATTACTGAGTTAGGGAACAGGGTTTTTCCACACTGATTCAAAACTGAAGTTCTTTAAATAGGCAAGATACCAAAAAAGGAGAAAATCTGGGAGAGATGGGATCATTCATAGGTCAAACACATAGCATAAACTCATGGGAGTGCTCAGCTTCCTGAATTGAAGGCCGATCTTGCTTCAGGGATGAACATGGAACTTTCAGGTCTCCTTGTCATATCACTGTGATTTGTATATGTGAAAATTTACTGCATGTTCTGAGAACATGCCTGACATGGTCTGTGTTTGTTTTTCCCTATCAGGGAGCAGAAAGAAAAATCCGAGACGAAGAGAGGAAGCAGAACAGGAAGAAAGGGAAAGGCCAGGCCCCCCAAACCCAGTGCAACAACTGTGAGTTTCTCTGAAACTAATTATGCTAAGGAAAAGGCTCCAGGTGGGCGGGGCCCCTTGGGTAAACAGGTGAAAAGAAGTGCATTACAGAGAAAAGCATAAACGTGGAAGGCATGGCCTGCTGTCTACTAGCAGAGCAGTCAGGGTGATTGTCCCAATGAGAAGCAAATAAATTCACATGAGCACACTGAGRTCAGAGGGACTTTGTAATATGAACACTGACATCCTCCTGTAGGGTGTGAGGACCCAAGCTCCACCTACAGTGCTCACTTTTTCTATTCATTGATGGATGGGGGGTTGGGGGAGATTTTTAAATTGTGTTCACATCTATGGTCTGTGGAAAGCTTTGTAGGAGAAAGCCGTGAACTTTTGCTAAGACAGGGCTGGTAGTTGAGGGTTCTCAGTCATGCATAACCCTGTYGTTTATGGGTTTTGTGGTCGCGTCCAGCCTCTGATGGGAAGTTGGCCGCCATACCTTTACAGAAGAAGAGTGACATCACCTACTTCAAAACCATGCCAGATCTGCACTCACAGCCTGTTCTCTTCATTCCTGATGTTCACTTTGCAAACCTGCAGAGGACTGGACAGGTAAGACCTCCCTGCTGACTGCCACCATTGTCCATCTGTGGACCTGGTGGTGCCATAAGACAAAAATGCTTTAGGAAGTTTTGACCACAGAAATAAAACCCATCTTCTATTCATTAGGGGAAAAGTCAACACTATTGTCTTCAAAAATTGGATTTCTATGGGAAAGAATGTCAGGTCTTCCCTTACTAAAGGGAAGAGGAGAACTAGTGAAGTGTTGGTAATGCAATGAAAGAGGAAGCAAGCAAGAAGACTGAAAACCTGTAAGAGAAATTGTTTTGTTGGCTTATCATGGGGGATTAGCCAGAGCAGCAGAGCGCCACCTAATGCTAGAAAATATAACTGCATCTGTACCTTCATAAAGTTGAGCAAAGGGAAAAATTCTTTGATTAAGTAAGGCCCTGTCAACAAATTTTCCTTTGGTAAAATAACAGCTTTCATTGAGTTGGTAAATCATTTCTCATCTAAATGATTACAAGTGAGATTAAAGATCTAATACTAAAGCATCCTGAAAGTCTAATAATTGACTGTTTTTATGGTTCCTCAGGTTGGTGGAGTGTTATGCAGCCACCAAAAGTTTAATTATGGAAACCATATAACAACATGGAAAATATTATGATAATGATCAACGAAAAAAAATAGGCTGGGCATGGTGGTGCAAGCCTGTAATACCAGCAGATCGGRAGCTGAGGGTGGAGGATCACAAGTTTGAGGCTCAGCAACTTAGTGAGGCCCTAAGCAACTTAGTGAGACCCTATATCAACATAAAAAATAGAAAGGGATGGAATGTTAAAATGCTTCTAGGCTCAATACTAAAAGAAAAAAAATAGTAGGATATCAACTTGTGTCTATACCATAATCCTAATTGGATTTGAAGAAAAATTGCCCCCGTTTTATTATTATTATTATTAACTGCCTTATGAGAGAAGGCTGATCTTTTCCCCTTTTATTTTTTGTATAGTTCTCTTATGTGATAAATTWAAATTGTGGGGAAAAAGAAAAAAATATATTTCCTTAAGAATTAGCCAGAATTGTCTTTTTTTATTTAAAGAGAGAGAATTTTTTAATATTTTTTTTTTTTAGTTTTTTCGGTGGACACAACATCTTTATTTTATTTTTATGTGGTGCTGAGAATCAAACCCAGTGCCCTGAGCATGCCAAGCAAGCGAGTTACCGCTAGAGCCACATCCCTGGCCCCAGAATTGTCTTTTACCAGATCAGTTGAGTTTGGAATTTTGCATTGATTAGTCTTGTTTTGAATCCTGGGTCCCTTGAGGAAAGACCTGTCTTGAGGAGTRGGGCACAGCAACACACTCAAGTTTTTCTCTTGTTCTAAGTGTGAAGACACTCCCTGGAATTGATCTTAGTCTAGAAGGAGAAATCATTATTGGCTTCACTCTCTTTTTCTGGAGAGTATTTATTAACCAGAGGGGTAGCGGTGGTGGTTACTGTTGCCATTCATGACGTCACATGGTAACAAAATACCTGTGGCTTTTCTTTGGAATGATTTCCAGTAAAAACTAATTTAATGTTTCCATCTTGTCTTACTTGTTTCATAGGAACAGGGACACAAGGGGAAAGGAAAAATTTTATAATTTATCCAGACAGGAGTTCCAGCATCTAATTTTTTTTTTTAATTCCCAAGTATGTGATAGTGATTTTGTCTATATTATCTTTACTCCATGATTTTATGGAGCTGGATTTCTGAACCTTCCAGGAGAGAGGATCATGGAGTTAGATTGATCTTACTGTTTGTTGTCCTGATTCTGCTGCAGTTCTGTGTCTACRCTGACAACCTGATCTTCTCTCTTGGCAAGATTTCCCTGAAATATACAAATGAGTTTAAGAGCAAAGGTGAGCCAACCTGGCTGCCCATGACTGTCCATCCTCGGGCCTCACCCGCCCCTCAGGGTTGCGAGCTGGGTTCCCAGCTGAGGGCTGACTCAGAAGGAAAGTAAAGCCTTTACAGACTGTTTGTTTCAAAGCAGCCTGATCAGCAACCCCCTGGGCCATGGGTGTCCTTAAGCCTTGCTCTCTGGAGGCCACCCTCACAGAGCCCTTAGGCTTCCCCTGTGACCTTGAGGCAGAATGAAGGAGTCTGTGAGGGAGTCTGCCCTGCACTCCTGGTGGCAGAGGAACACTTATCTGTGCCCTAGAACAGCCTGTGTACATGCCATGGTTGGTCAACTTGCTGCTGGGGCTTTTAAAGTGCCTTTTCTGGGAAAAGCTCCATGCTTGGGGGATCTTCCAGAGGCAGGAAGGAAGTCACAGTGCTCTGGCCTAGAAGTGAGGATGGGGTTGGGGTTGGCACACTTGGACATGCAGAGCAAGAGCTGGTGTCGCAGGGTGGAAGAGAGACAGGTTTACCAGAGGAGAAGGGAAGCAGGCAGCCGMGTGCAGCTCAGTGACCGCTGCAGGTGTGGGTCTTGCTAAAATCAGCCTCATTGCAGCTCTGGGCACAGTAGGGTCAACTGCCCTGTGGCTCTCACAGTCAGTGAGTGCCAAGCCATTTTGAGGGCTCCCCACAGCAGTTCCTATTCACCCAAGAATACCTGCCAGGAATATGGTTTGGTGATGGTCAGTCCATATGTCTCCTGTTCCCCCATTAACTCATTGACTCACATTTGGATTGGAAGATTCTTCAGGTGGTTATTAAAAACTGGTTGACACCAGGGAATGAATCCACTACATAGGCACCATGGATGCCTTTAGTCTCATACCTCATATCAAAGCCCCATGATCTCTGCTGCTCATGTCGGGAATGCCTTTAATAGACAAGTCATTAGGGGAGCTTGGGGGAGACCTTGGCACTTGGAGGCATCCTCTTTTGGATAATGTGCACTTTACAGCCTTCCTCAWCCTAAGGAGCACCCTTTCCTCCCTGCCCTTTAATAAACATAAATTTATTGGCTCATATTTCTGGAAGCTGGGAAGTCCAAGATTGAGAGTCTTCTTGCTGTGTTTTTTTGGGCTTCTCCACAGGTAATAAAAGGTCATTAGTGGAAAAAGGAAAAAAGGAGAGGATCCTTATGTGTGCAGGATGGTGGGCAGGATCAAGAGCAATTTTAGCCATAGTTTGAAGAATCTATTGGTGGGAGGGCCACGTGACATGGCAGGTCATGCCCCCCCCCCAACACATACACATATGCAGGTGCCACCTTGCTGTTCCTTGGCCAAGCCAGGAAGGGTCTCTTGAATCATGGTTTGTCCACAATCTCACCCCAGCTCACAGTAGTTTTGGTAAGGATTCAGATTTGAATTCAGAGTTCTAATCTCCACATGAGTTCTAGGAATTCACAATAATATGTCTCCATGTATCTTTTAGGCACTTTAAGGTTTGAAAAACATGCTCAAAAAATTGTGATTATGCTGGGCGTGGTGGCACATGCTGAAATCCCAGCAGCTTGGGAGGCTGAGGCAGGAGGATTGTGAGTTCAAAGCCAACCTCAGCAACTTAGCAAGGCCCTAAGCAACTTAGTGAGACCCTGTCTCTAAAATATAAATATAAAAGGGCTGAGGATGTGGCTCAGTGGTTCAACTCCCAGTACCAAAAAAAAAGTGAGTGCAAGGGGCCCAATGACCAACAGGGAAGAAACGGTGGATTGTTAAGTGATTGTTAAGTGAGAGGAAGTGAATGGACAGTGACAGGAAGGGTCAAGGAGGGGCTGCTCAGGAGGGCAGGGAAACCCTTAGGAGAATGCTCTTCCATGTTGGAACAGCAACCACATCTCTGCTGAGCAGACTTACCTTGCCAGGGAGCCAGGCAGGCGGGTGCATGATGCCACATTTGCAGAAGCCGATAAAACCTAAGTCCCCCTGAGGAACTTCCGTGAAACAATCTGGGTATGTGGTCAGTAGCGTGGTCCAGGTTCCCTCACTCATGGACAGCCTGTTTCTGGTCCATCACAGTGACAGGGGCTCTGGATGCCACACTGAACCTTGGAGTGGAAAAAACTTACTCTTTTCTGCTTAAGAAGAAGAAATAAGGTATACATTACAACAATAGCCACACACCCCCCAAAAAAAGTTTCAGAGGAAAAATTTCCCATAGAAATCTGAGCTAGTAACTAGAATGACTCATTCCGGAGAGTCACACCAGGTAAGAGGGTTGTTATACAACCAGGCCTGTGCTTGGCAGCATCCCACRAGCTGCCAGTAGCCTTTGAGAACATCTGCGGGGAAGTTGTCTGTCCAGACCCATGCCAGGCAGGGACAATGACTAAGGTCTTAGAATTGGAGACATCTTTAGAAGTGAATATGTGACTGTTTGATGCAGATTTGGGTATCATTTTTCCACCCAAACACAACTGGCCCTGAAACACACACATAAAGCTCACAAAAGGGCCCAAATTAATTTTTAGAAATAATTGGGTGAGGAGGATACACATACATAGCAGATTCCCTCTGAACTTCTCCCATCTTCCACCAAATAATAAGGATGCTTTACATTTTTTTTAAAAAATTCTGATTCTGTTGGCCATTCACTGATCATCTAATAAGGTTTGTTTTCAGAGAGATTCCTTGTGGCTATGAATGGCTCTGAGTCATGAGACATTCACCAGCCTGAATGCTACTTCTAAATTTGTGTGGCTGTGGGATGTGAGGGTAACYCAGGCTCTTTTAGGGCCACAGTAGTTGAAAGGCATGGGGTTACTGTTGATCTGCCATGGGGCACTCTTGCTCACCCCCTCCCCAGTAATACAGTRCGTGGAGGCTGCTTGCTTGTAGACCAGATGGGATTGGTTACTCATAAGCCCTGCTCTCTGAGCCACCCTGCAAGCCACAGCTTTTCTAAACAATGGATTTAGATCCTGCCAACATATCTTCTTGATGTCAAGAGCAAGATTTGGCTTAGGGCCAAAGTAATCTGATCCGATTGACTTCAGCTAGAAATAATCAGATTTCCTATTTTATTTCATGAAAATCTAAGAATTAACCCCAAGGAGAATATGAGGCGGTTAAAAATTTGCATTTCCTTAGAAACACAGTCAGAGCATCATTAAACACATTTGTGTTTTGTCTTTTTAAGAGACAGTTGGCAAAGTCTGTGTGTCGCATGCTTTATTTCCATTTGCAGTCTCTGACCTACAGTAAGCCTATTGTTTTGTTCCACAGGTGTATTACAACACGGATGATGAGCGAGAAGGGTAAGACACTTGGTTATTTCACCTAAACACCCTGAGTCAGTTCATGTCAGTAGATGTGGCACTGAGCAGGAAGTGGGACCTTCCACTCAGCTCAGCACTTAGGAGACAATCTGGGAGGGAGGGGGATGGCCCTCGCTGCCCATTGCTGGTCCCAACACAAGATCAATGTAAGCCTGAGGCAAGAGCCAAAGGAGACTGCCTTACTTCCAGTATCCCTGGATCACACATATCTCTTGAAGGGCCCACTTAGCTGTTTTCCATGGGACTTGGAAAGGCTGAGAACCTGCTTGCTGTCCTCTAAGATTAGATTAGAGGTTGTCACTAAGGCTGCCAATGTTTTCCACACCATATCTCTGTATAACAGTGATAGGGATGTTATCCATCTTTGCAAAGAACACATGCTCACCAAAACCTGGTACTGCAGAATTTAAGGGGCAGTCAGATCTTCAAAGTTCTTTCTATTCTTAACTCATTTTGTAAACTTCGAAGTCTAGAGCCAAGAAAGACCCTTCAAAGCTATTGAGCTGAGAGCTTCTTCTAGGCAATGGTAACATTTATACTGTATCTTTGAGAGATGGTCAGCCAGCTTCTGCCTGAATGTTGCCCATGACGGAGAGCTCAGTGTGTGTGTGTGTGTGTGTGTGTGTGTGTGTGTGTGTGTTTTGTGAGGAGGGAGTGTCATTACTGTTATACCAGTCCAGCTCTTAGCAAGATGTATTGTCTGTCAAGCTGATATCTACCTGCTCTTGATTTCAACCCATCATCTCTCAAATCCTGCCCTCTGGACTAAGTCACATTCTCCCTCAACATCCAAATATCCCTTCCCTCTCTGCARCTGTTCTTTATATTCCTTTAAAATATACCCCTCAACATCCCAATTTCCCTCCAGGGGTACTACTGGAGATTTGTTACAAGTCTATTTGTCAAGAGTCTCCTTAAAATTGGCCTTCGGAGAAAAACATGTGTTAGAAACATATGAATTCAGATTATATTGGTATAACTTCTTATGACTTAAYTGTGTTTTTTTTCTCTTAAAGCAATATAGAACTCCATTCTTTTTCAATATCTATATTATGCTTTTAGTTTGCATTAGATATGCGTAACTAAAATTTCTAGATATTTTTCCCATCCAAACCACAGTCAAACCTGTGCTTCCTATTTCTAGGAAATGAATATATTCACTGGTAAAACATTTCACAGCTGGTAAAGTAAATGGAGCAGATGTTGCTGGGCTCATTCCTAGAGCAGAGGTTGGCATATGATGGTCTGAAGACCACCTACCTCATGCCTACCATCTGTTTTTGAACCGTTTGCAAACTAACAATGGCTTTTACATTTTTCAACAATTAAGAAGAATTTCAAAAGAAGAATAATATTGYATGACTTATAAAATTTATGAAATCCCAGTGTCCACAAACAAAGTCTTACTGGGACCCAAACATGTAGATTCCTTTATGTACTGTTTGTGACTGATTTGGTTCTATAACAACAGGATCAATAGTTACAACAGAGGTCATATGGGCTGTGATGCCTAAATATTTATTGTCCAGCCTTTGACAGAAAAATGTTTGCCACCTTCCTTTCCAAAGGCAAAGAGTCTCAAAGGAGTAAGATTATTCCCCAAACTTGGGGTAGAACCTTGTCTATGATTTACCTCCAAGTTTGGAGTTCTAAATTTTCTAAGTACTTACTAGATTGTTCTTTGTATCTTGGCACATAAATAATACATTTCCAGTGGCTGAATGAACAGAAATGATTAGCACTATCAATTTTAATCTGTTATTCACATATCTTACAACAGACCATGTGGCGGCACAGAAAGAATATTGAGTGGGCTTAGGAAGCCTGAGTTCTTCTCCTGACTGCCATTTGCCAGTGTGAAGTCTTGGGCCAGCTCCTTGATCCCTGTACTTTGATTTTCTCAGTTTTGCACTTGTAGATTTTGTATAGAACAATCTCTAACATTTCATCTAGCATTAACATTGCACTTAGTATTATGAATAAAGTAAAATAAAATAAAATTTAAAACTCCGGAGAAAAGTTAGTGTCAGAGTGAGAAGTCTGAGATCCTGAGTGCTCCTTGATGAGCAGATCTCAGTTGTAAATCTCTCTTATCCCAAATTGCGCTTTACAAGCTGACTATATTTAGATGGCTATTGACCTGCTTGTAACTCCATTGGTTCTGCTTCTCTGTAAGAACTAACCTTATGTAATTATGAATCCTGAGACCCAAGTCTCATACTCTTACACATCTTCTAACCCACATTTGATTGAGTAATATGGGCAGCATTGGAGCCTCAGAGTTAATACATAGTAGATAGTTGGCTATTGTTATTTGTAAAAGTAATATTAATGTTCACTGGATACCTTGGCTAGACACAGAACTAGGTGCCTTATATGCAATATGCATTCAATTCTCCCAGATTTCCTATTAYCTCCATTTGATTATGAGAAAATTGAGGCTTCAGGAGATTAGGAAACTTGCTAAAAAACTTGCCTAAACCTGGCTAGGAAATGATAGAAGCAGTAATTGAAGGAATATCTACCTGCACTTCCCATTACCTGCTTTTAACTATTGTGCCTTATTGCCTAACCCTCTTAATTCTTGATCTGTGGCTGCAAAGGAGGCATCAAGAGACAGGCCCTCATTGAGATATCTTTCTGGCTTGCATAAAAGCACAACCTTGGTTCATYCCTTGAAGTATGGAATGAAAATTGTGAAGAGTCCCCATGAGTTTACATGGCAGTGGGGACCAGATTTGAGGCTGCCATATGTATCACCTGGCCCTGAGCAGGTACCATCTTTAGTAACATGTGCACAACCTCCATCAGGGGTGATTCTTAGGCCAAGTCCTTAACTTCTTTATGCTTTTCAAGGGCTCTCTGCTTAACTCCTTGGTCTGTTGTCCTGTGTTGCTTAATGTGGTACATGCCTCAATAAGATGACAGAGTATCTGGTTCAATTTTTTCTGCCTCCTTGCTCTCTAGAAATTTGAACGTAAGTCCTAGATAACTTTGCAATCCCAAACTTCGTTTATCTAGCACCACAAAATTGTCAAAAGCTATGCAAGTTTCTTTGCCCTTCAGTTTGGCTTATCAGTAATCATGGAAATGAGTGCCATGATCTTTATCCCAACCTAGAACCAACAGATGCTTTAAGAAGGAAGCRGTCGCTGATTCTCCTGAGCTCACCTCTCTGTGGCTATCTTCTCTGAGTTCTCGACTCAAATTCTGGCTGTCTTAAGGGCAACTGTCTAGTACGTTCACTAAGATTTTTTAAAATTTATATAGACAGTTTTTCAAGTTATTCTTGGATGGAAYATTGCTCTGCCTCAACCTATAACATTTTAGTCAGAAAAAAAAAATCTGTACTACCTTTTAAAATGATCTCTCTGGAGTCTACTGACCTAATCATTTGTAACTTCCATTTTTTTTTTAGTTCATTATTGCCATAGTAGCTCCTAACCCTATGTTTTCTTTTCTTTCTTTTTTTTWAAATTAATTTTGTCAAGTGAATTCTGTACACACCTCAAATTAACATTAATTTTTAGTTGACTCCCCCAAAGAATAATCTGTTGAAAATAAATTAATCAAGATTATACTCCATGAGCTGGGATTATGGCTCAGTGATAGAGGGCTTGCCTCGCACGTGTGAGGCACTGTGTTTGATCCTCAGCATCACATAAAAATAAATAAATAAAAATGAAGATATTGTGTCCATCTACAACTAAAAAATAATTATACTCCATAATGTAAAAGACTTTGTGAGGACTTGAATATAAGATGAGCTCTAATTTCTGACACTAATGTAGAAAGGGGACTCCATTTATTTAGGGTATTCACCATAAATAACATATATGGGCCATAAGCAGAGTTACGAAATGAACAAACTATGTCCCCATGATGATTGCCACTCTTTTCTGTACTTCAGTTTGACATCTCCTCACTGGGCACCCAATACCTAGGGCAGTTCAGCCTGGTGGGTAGAACACAACATTATCTCTCCTGGGTGTGTCCAGAGACTCTTGCTTCAGACCAGACATCTTCCCAGTATTTTCTGATGAAATGTAACACTCCTCTGTTTCGACCTCAGGGGCTTGCTTTCACTGAGATGGACCCTATAAGCAAGTGGCTGAATGTGCTGCTGGCCCTGGGCCACTCTATATATTGACCACCTTGTAGTGCCAGTGGATGGAGATTGATGTTGGAGAAATCACCTTTTCCTTGTCCTTGAGGCTTTCTGTGGTATAATTCACTGTAATTTCCCTGCACATCAGGAGACCTGAAATGCGTGCTCTTTTCATCCGGCCAACAGGCCAGTCACACCTGCCCTTCTTTTCTGGCCTTGCTTTGAAAACAAGTGGAACAGTTGAATTCAGAGCACATGAAACTTATTGACCCCTACTGGGTTTATAGATTAGAAAGTGTGGAAGAGCATATTTGAACTCCCAAGAGAAATGTGGTTTATCCAAGGTGCTATTTTAATGGCAAAGTCAGTCATGGCTCAGAATGGGGTGCTATTGAAAGTCAACAGAATTGGGAAAATATAAATAAATCTTGCTTGGGAGAAAAAAGGAGAGAGAGCATTAGCTCAGGAACCTTCACACAGCGTGAAACAGTGTCTGGTGATATTTCAGGCCATTTTCCTATTATTAGCCTAATGGCCACTGGCTGCTGTGTGAATGGATTTTCAATCTTTCAGTCCTGAGGTCATGGTCACTCTAGTTCCAAGACATGACAGAGTAACATAACCTGCTTTTAGGACACAATAGTGAGGGGAAGACAGAGGGAACAGTGTCTTACAAGCTTACGGAAACCTTCAGCTGGGACTTGAGGTTTAGATTTTTCCTCTGGCTGTTTTCATTTTCTGACATACTAGGGAATAAAAGAAGACTGTCTCAATATTATTTCTTATACCTTACTCATCATCTCGGATTTATTGAGTAACTTTATGGTGAGACTGTTCCTTCAGAGGTCAGAGGTAGGCTCTTTGAACATCCTGGTTCACTTACTGCCCTGCTTAGGACCCTTAACCCACTGAAACTTCTGTCATCACTGAGATGGGATAAAACTGGTCCTTGCCCTGTTTGGCTCAGAATGTTGCTGAGACTTAAGTGATGGAGGAGATGAAGCTTTGTAAAAGCTGAAGTCTTACCAAGGAGTTTGATTGATTGATCTACCCTTTGGACCAGCTAGAATATGAGAAGACAAATTAAAGCCTCATTGGCTTAAGCTATTATAATTTATAGAAATACTTTCTGGATGATTCCTAGTTCCATACCGTGTGCTCTTTCTACTTCTGGACCCTACCATTAACTCCACTCGAGGATTGACAAAGAACTTCCTGGTGACAATAATGCCAGCATGGAGTTGCAGGATCTTGCATTAACTGGAAGCTTGGGACCATATAATGTCAGCCTTCCATGCAGGGAACATTACCTTAGAGTGGACCCAAGTGGTGGTTTGGACTATTTGCTGTGATGGTGAGCAGAAATTCTGACCTCTTTCAAATTGTCTGTTTTATTTCATTTTCTCCATCTCTCTTTTGCTCAATGTCTCCAACTTTATCATCACCATCTTCCTTGAACTCTTCAGAGGTGTTTTCAATGGATCAGGGAACCTCTTGTGAGTGTGCTTCGGATGTGAGTTCACTCCATTCTCTSAACAGCCTCCTTTTAAAATTTAATTAACTAACTGATTTCTGACATTTATTTTTAGATTGACGTATAATATTTGTACTCACTCATAGACGATGGATATGAGTGAGTACATGTTTACCATCTATAATGATCAACTTGGGGTCATTAGCATTTCTATCACCTTAAATATTGTCATTTCTATGTCAGTGTCTCTTTTTAAAGTCAAGGAGACAGAGGCCCAGGGAAGTTGAGAAACTTGTCCAAGATTCCATGCTAGTAAATTATAAAGTAGGGTTTAAATCAAGGTAGTCTAGCCCCAGAGTTCCTGTCTTAATAGTTCTGCTGAACTGTCTGCCTGGCATTGCTTCATGGGTCTAGGAATCCCCAGAGAATAAAAATTTTGAAAATGTTGCAGTCTTCTCCTTTGAGAGCTTAAAGAATAGTAAGATTCCACTTAAGAGCATTTTCACAATATCAGTGACTTCTAATTTCTGTTCCTCTTAAACAGCCCTCCCCTTCCTTACAGGGACATTGGAAGGAAATACAGAACCATCAGTACTGACCCAGCTGAGGTCATGCAGGGCCTCATCTCTATGGGCTTCCAGGAATGGGGACTGGAACCTCCCTGGAGAAGGAAGGAAGGACAGGACAGGACATCTGGGTCCCACTACTGCAACCTCATCTCCTCTGACCAGGAGAAGGGGAGAGGGGGATGACATTAGGCATCAGCACAGTTTACAGCTAAGTCCCAGCCAAGCAGGCTGTGGCCTTTACAGAGAGGTTAATCTCAGCTACTCAAGAAGCTGAGGCAGGARAATCACAAGTTAGAGAGCAGCCTGGCAACCTAGGGAAACCCTGTCTCAAAAAAAAAAAGAGCATTTAAGGGGCTGGCAAGATGCGGCAGAAGGAGAAGAGGAGGCCACAACTGGATGGGAGAGGGCTGACTTGGGGATCACACTGCAAGCTTCTGCTCCCCTCCAGGGCTCCCTCTGGCTTCCCCCAGCCCTGATCTTCTCAGCAGGAAGAGGACAGCAGTTGAAGTCTAGAGCGGGCAAAACCCAGAACTCTCCCCTTGGTGGATTCATAATCAGCAATATGTAGAGCAGGTCTTAGGTCCACGCCTCAAAGATGGCAGAGTATGTTCCTGCTCCCAACAGGGATGAGTTGGGACCTGCAAGGGCAGGAGGGAGGCTGGTGAGTGGCTCTGGCTGTGGAGAAGTAGGGGTGGTGTAAACAAGGGAAAAGGAGAGGGACTGCCACTTACAGGAACTTGTGTTTTGACACCTTGTCTGCTGCCCATAACAATTTCTGCTCCTTTTCTCCTCAGCAGTGTCCTTGTTAAACGAATGTTCAGGCCCATGGAAGAGGAGTTTGGTCCAGCACCTTCAAAGCAGATGAAAGAAGAAGGGATAAAGCGAGGTATCTCTCCATTTGGGGCCTGCCACTTACCTGGGTCCCTTGACCAGCCCTCCCAGCATGAGGCGTGGGGCACTTCACCAAGAAGAGCTTGCGGCCCTGGCCTGTGGCTCAGGGCCAACCCTCCTGAGTTTTTATTTACACAGAAAGCTCACGGTCTTCTCCTTTGCATTACACTGTGCCCTTTTAAACATCTTGAGTCAGGCTTATTCTTTCTGGGCACTGATTCTTTCCTTTGTCTTGGGAGAATGGTAGCAAATGCACTGACTCATCCAGCAGTCAGATACCAGGTTAAAAAGAAACTCTTGCTGGGTATGTGACAAAAATACCTCATAAGAAGCAGTTACTGGGCCCAGGGTGTGACTCAGGAGTAGAGGGCTTGCCTAGCGTCGTGTGTGAGTTCCATTCCTGGGTTCCATTCCCAGCCCTGGGGAAAAAAAAAAAAAATAACCAAAAGAAACAGAACCTGAGGACTGTTCATAATGAATGCAAAGAATGATTAATCTCACACAAATAAAGAGACCTCTGTTTTCCATGATGTCACAACTTACTCATTTTCTCATGGACAAGGGTCTCTGACTCCACTTCATCAAGAAGGAAAGAAACAAGCATGAGAGTCAATGTCTTGCCCAGCGTCTCAGGGCTGCACACAGTTGTCCTTCCTCAGAGTGAGAGGGACGGGGGTGGAACAGCCATCTCGCCTCTGTCCTGCTGCAGCCAACTCTGAGGGCTTCCAGAGAGTTTAAACTTAGAATTTACAGGACCTTTAAGGCTCTGCACCATGTCAAATATAAGCATGGCTTTGTTTTGCTTTTGAGAAAATTTTTTTTTCCTATTTATTGTAGTGGAATTTGAGGGATGGTCAAGAGAGGTCCTTAGTAGACTGCTCCTTGGAGTTGTATGACCTTGGACACGTCCTTTACTCTCTTGTTCCCCAGAGTGCTCATCTGTTAAGTGACAATGATGAAAGAAGATACCCAGAGAGCTGTTGTGAGGACTGATAGGTTAATGGATGTAGGGTTCTCTATTCAAGGGCTTGGCACGTGGCAAGCATTCCATGTTTACTATTATAAATGATTATTAGGCATTTATCCTGATAAGTTATATTATCATAATTGTGAATTGGCAATTAGAATTTCAGAATGGAAGGAGACTACAGGCCACATTTAAATCTTTAAAAGATTTTCTGACTCTACAGGCTTCCCATGTTCGGTATTCAAGTATCTATATTTTTGAACTCCATTCCTAGATGTCTTTTCTGTTCTAGAATTGGAGCAGAGTTCTGTGGAAAACAAGAATCCAGAGGCTTACGTCATCGTAGCTTACTTCCAGAGTTGGTGCTTGGTGGCTAAAGATGATTTTTCAGATATTGTGAATCCCACACGAAAATTTCCACTAGAACTTGTACTGGGTTGTCATTAAAAGGAAAGCTGTGGCTTTGAAACATAGAGACACATGAGGGCGCCGTATCCTACCAGCAAAAAGCCCCAGGCTTGGAGCTTCCGCTCTGAGCCGAAGTTTGACAGGCTCAGGGAATTAGGGTCACTGATGGTTTCTATTGTTTATTTGTCAGAAGTTCCCCAAGAGAGGGAATGATCGCAATTATCTCCAAAGCCATTATTATTGCTTGTTTGGCTTTGTAGCCACCTGTCAGGGGGTCTGGTCGGAGTCACTAGGGGGCTGTCCCCCGTGGCTGTGTGCCTTCAGCTGTACAACATCTGGGAGACTCTTGCTGCCCTTGGCAGAGCGATCATTACACTTATGACTGCTCTGCCACAGACAGGAGCTCAGGAAAGCTGACTCCCTGGGCAAGCCATCAGGGCGTGCTGTGAGCCCTGCATGCCCAGGTGTGCCCATCAACAACCCAGCAGGAGAGGATGGGACTGCCCTGCCCTGCTTGAGGTTCTTCAGTGGCTCCTGAACACCTTGAGCACATGCAGCCATTCCTGAAGCAAGCTCGGCAGCCCTCTTAATTTCAAAGATAATAATTTGAAAAGAAGCAATTTGTAAATACAGTGGCAGCAGTGCTCTTTTTTATAGAATGTGGTTTGGGGTTTTCTCAAGGTCAGCCTGCTGGAAATTCCTTTTTTCTTTTCTTTTTTTTTATTATTATTTTTCTTTTTCTGTTGAGAGCTTTGGGAAGACGTAATATTTTTTTTTTAATCTGTAACAGCCAGCCATGTTTCCCCTCCCCTTTTAATTTTTCTTACTGAGATGTAATTGGAGTGTTATGTACTAATTATTTTTTCTGTAAACTGCTAACATGGAATCCTCTGTAATAACCCTTAGATCACTAGGTCATCTTAGCTGAAATGGAGGCTATAAGATATTCCTTCCAAAGGACTGATTTTGCTAATCTTTAGAGGCATGTTCACTCTATTTAATAGATACTTTATATTTGATAAAGAGAAGAAATTCTGTAATACTTAAACTCACTTTTTCCTCTTTTCTTCCCTTTCTCCCTCCCTCGCTCCCTTCCTTTGTCACAACTACTGAGCATTCTCTGTTACAGAAAGACAATTCAGGCAGAGCCCCCATGTACCCATGTTGAATTGACCTTTGGAAAGCAGTAGCTTGGATGAAGTCCTTGGGAATGGGGGAGGTGGGGGAGGAGAAGTGGGAGTTTGGATAAGAGCTGATTTCACTTTCTACCTCCAACTTCATTCTTCTGGCAGATGGCAATTGTAGCTCAGTTGGTTTTCAATTGTAGTTGGGACCTAGGCTCAGTGGGGTTTTATGACCTGGGCATTTTTTCCTAGAGTGACCAGGTGCATGGGGCTTTGGTTTTGACCCTCCTTCTTCCCGCTGATGAATCAGAAGTCATGACACCAGGAGGAGGGAAACAGAAAGGGCAGTCAGCCCACCGGGGTTGCAGAGGCACAGTTGCATCTGAATGGCAGTTGCCAGTTTCTTCTGGGAACTGAGCTCCATCACAATTGCTATTAGGAAAGGAATAGTCAGAGAGGACAAGGATGAGCAAGAGAAACAGCAGCCAGCAGCTGTCATGTCAGTAGGACATGGGAATATATTACCCACTCTGAACTCCATTGGCAATCTCTTATTCTCTTATTTTAAAGAGAAATGAGTATAAAAGGCTGCATTCTACTTCACTGAGAGCACAACTGCTTCCTAATAGCTTTTCTAGGTTGAAAACTAGGTACTTGCCCTATACTAGCACCATAGTAAATATGCCAAGTGGACCTTATTTCACCGACCCCCTTATGGCGACCATATGCAGTCCTCTTGTCCCTGTCTTATAGAGAAAATCTAGGCTCAGACAGGTTATATGACCAGGCCGATATCTTAAACCCCTGGCCCAGATGATATGCAAGGGTGACGGAGACATACATACATGCCCTGCAGCTAGGGACTTCTAAGGAATGACTCACTGACATAAACAGACACCTGGTGATACCTACCAGGCTATAAGATGCTTTGACACATGCATTCACCTCTGAGTTCCTCAAGGTGGGTATGTGATCTGCTTAAACCCAGATCAGTGCCACTCCATATCCTGAGCCCCTTCCTCCACTGACCCAGGACCTGTGCCTGTCTGGAATCTGCTGTCCCCACCCTCTTCACCTTGTTACTTGCAAGCCCTTATAATCTTTATGACTCAGATCTCTCCTTCAAGGTCACCTTTTCTGAGCTTGACCCCACCCTCACCCTGGCAAGTTCAGCCTGTAGAGCACTCTAGACTCTGCCTAGCTTATTTCTCTGCCTCTCCAAGTGGCTCCTGAACTCCCTAAGGGCTGTGACTGGAACTTAACTGTTTGTTATACCCTCAGCTTCTAGCGCACAGGGCCTAGTGGTTGTTCAGTAATATTTGTTGAATGAACAAGTCAGCAAATAGAAGAAGAAATTTGCAGGAAAGAAGTCATAAAACGATTACATATCCATCCTGAGAAATTCATATGTGTCAAAGCAACTGACAGCCTGGTAGGTGTTACCAGGGTGTCCATTTATGTCATTGAATCACTCCTTAGAAGTTCCTATCCACAGGGCATCTATGTAGATGTCTTAGTGTCCCTTCTATATCATCTGGTCTGGGGTCCATGCTTAGCAGGTGATGACTGCCTGAGATTTGCCTATATGACAGAAAGCAGACCTCTGGGCCCCCTTCGGTCACACAGCCCTTGTCCCTTCTCTTTCAGTGCTCTTGTATGTGAGGAAGGAGACAGATGACGTGTTTGATGCTTTGATGCTGAAATCTCCCACGGTGAAGGGCCTGATGGACGCGGTAAGCTAAGAGCCCCTTTCCACATCCAGGGGACCAGTGCTTCTTAGCTAAACCCAGTTATTAGAATGGAGCCAAATGAGGTTTAAATAGAAAAAGGAAAAGCTGAGATCTGTGGAGACACTGATTTCTAAATGTTGTTGCTCATTAGCATCTTAATATGGGAATTTTGAAACTGCCAATTCTCTGTCAGTTGAAGACTAATCACAGTAACATGTGTGGAGGAAGATTAAACCGAGTTTTCATTTGTCTCTTTGCATGAAACCAAATTAGATACATTTAGCTTCCAAATATTTGCACAACAAAACAACTAAATGTCCTGTTAGCTATGGTAGTACAAAATAAAACTGTGACCTCTTGGCTAAAGAAAAAAATATATTGTAGTGATTTGTGGTATGATTCTTCCACTGCTTCCCTGACTTGGACTAGTATTAGTCACCTTGGACCCAAGAAAAGTTATCTTCTATTTTAGTCACATATTAACCACCCAAATGTGATTTGACTTTAAATTTTAAACTCCCACTAGTCCCCTGCCCTGTACAACTGAGTAGTAGAAGATCCAAGTTTTTTATACTGATGAAAATACCAGGATGGCCTGAGACACAATCTAAAATGGTTGGTTGTTCTAGAAAACTTCAGCATTGGAAAAACATCTTGGATTATGGGACCCAATGTAAAAATGTATAACAAAGATCCTATGAGTGGAATCGTACAATGTGGACTTTTGTGACTGATTTCTTTCATTTAGCATATTTTTTAAAATGTTCATCCATGTGATAGCATAAACCCAGGCTTCATTCTTCTGATAGATCAGTAAATTTCCATTCTATGTGTATGCCGCATTTTGTTTTCAATCCATCAGTTGATGGATATTGGATTTTTTTTCCGCTTTCGGTTATGGTCAATAATGACACTTTGAAAATTCATGGTCAAGTTTTTGTATGAATTCCCGTTTATAATTATTTGGAGTATATTCCTTGTGGGATTGCTGAGCTAGACACAAAAAGTCAAATAGCATATGATTCAATTTGTAGGTAATATCCAAGGTAGTCAAATCGGTAGAGAGAGCCAGCAGGTGAGTGGTCGTTAGGAGTTGGAAGGAGGAGGTGGAGGGATTTGACTTGATGGGTTTCTCTTGGGAGTGGTGAAAATCTTCTATAATTAAAGAGAGATGATGGTTTTATAATATTGTAAGTGAACTGAAATGCCACTGAATTGTGTGATTTTTAAATGGTTAAAATTGTGAATTGTGTGATATATGTACTTAGTATTTGTTGTTCATCAGAAATTTTTTTTAGAATAATGCATAAAAAAGTTTCCAGCGCAGATCCTATGCTGCCTCTGTGAGGCACTGTTAGCAGGTCTGTAGGCAATCCTAAACAGGACCTCAAGGACCACTCTCCAAACCACTTATGGACGATTTGGTGATTTTTGTTGTTGTTGTTGTTCCACAGGTCTTTTCTTTGGAATAGAATTTGTTGTTACCGAGTCTACTTCACATAAAGAAAAAACAAAAACAGAAATGAATGTTTCTATATCCCAAGTCAAACAAGATTCTTAAGATGACCCTAAAATTGCCAGAGGATGGACCAATGAGCCAGAAAGGCCCATTCAATATCCAGACCTCTCTGGGCAACTTTGGACAATTTCGTACTCGGTCTGGCTTTTCAAAGACCACATTGTTGAAACTGACTTCCTAGGACAGCAGCGAATCCAAACTCTGATTCTGATGAAAGGGAGGTGGAGCGTGGTTGAGCCTGGGGATTAGGCATCTGTTTTCACCAGCTCCTCAGGGCATTCTAAGAGGAGTGAGGTGTGGGAACCTCTCATCTAGACCAGTTGGGAGTGCATCCGCTATGCTGTGATCCTGCCTTTGTTCTTGATGTCTTTTATTTTCCTTCCATAACATCTGGCTGGTTTTATAAATGTTCTGTAGATGTGATTTCACTGAACCAGAGAGGAACTAAATGTTACCTCCACTCCCACCAAAACTGTGGCCCAGCACCTTTGCCTACTCTTCCCACCACAGAGGCATCTGGCTCTTGATGCCTTATAAGGGGAGCTCATCATACCTGCCTTGCTATGGCTAGATGCAGGCACAGAGGCTGGAGGTGATGCATGATAGCCTTTGACTCTGTAAATCAAGGAAAAATCAGGTTTCCTAGGCCTATTCTGGTCAGATCCTTCAGGGCAGTGCAGACTTCATCTCTCCTTTAAGTCTGGAAAGAAAAAGTTTTCTGAAAGCACCAACACAAGCTATTTCCTTGCTGCTTGAGTTGCACAGATGTGCTGGACAAGAGAGGCCCCTTCAGGAGCCTCGGGAGATGTGGGCTGGTGGTGAGCTGTGAAGAGATGACAGCCCTGCAACTGGGGACGGCCGTGGAGGATCCCGGGCTCTGTTCAGCACAGACTTGGGCGCATTGTGAAGATGGTAGAATTCTGAAGAATACTGGATCCTGCTCACTGTAGTTATACCTTGAGTTTATTTGGGGTCCTGTGTGAGGTGACAAAGCATAACTAAGCCAGAGTCTGGGTTCGCTGAGTACCATGATCTCACTAGCGTTTAATATTTTATTATAGTCCTATTTACCAATATGCATTTGAATATTATAATATACATGTGTGTATATATAATACCCATACAATATAATAAATGCATACATATATATATATGTGTGTGCAATATGTATAGTGCAATTATACAGTCATCCCCCAGTATTCAGGCCCAGTTCCAGGACCTGCTGCAATTCCAAATCCCACAAATGCTCAAGTCACTTAATACTTGCATAGAACCTACTTTAAATCATCTCTAGATAATTATAATATATATAATTTTTTTAAAGTTTTTTGATCCACAGTCATTTCAACCCAGTTTCAGAATAATATCATCGTGCATGGAGGTTTATATTTTTAACAACTACAAGTCACATAGAACAAATGCTCAGTAAGAAAAAGAAGATTCTAACTTTTAAGGAAGTTTGCTTAATCAAGAGATATTATATTTGACCTCAAGCCATCATTTGAACCCTGACACTGGTTGAAAATAGATTCCCCTAAACATAGACCCAGACCCTTTTCACTACTATGGACCTAGGACTTTGCTTCCCTAAGTAGGTCCATCAGAATCTCCAAGGTACATTGCAAAGATGCCATACCAGAATTCCAACTACAAACTTTATTGTCAAGTTTTCTAGAGGTGGCCCCCGGAAGAGCATTGATGAGAAACTCCCTGGTTGAACTGAAGCACACTAAAGTTTGAGAGGCACTACCTCGTGTGTCCCTTGACTGGGAACTGAGACGAGTGTCTATTCTGTCCTGAGACCTCAAGTGCACATTCACTTAGAATAGGGATAAGCCCATACTCTTGTGAAGCCAAATCCCTGTCAATGTAGCTTTAAGCCAAGGAGTGGCCCTGTAAGCTATTTTGTAACCTTACCCCTGTGGATTTTAGGAATTGGCCTGGGTCCAGGCTACTTCCTTCATCTTCATTGATGTTTTGGGAAAGGCCAACTGCTGTCTCTGTTGAGGAAGGAACTCAGTCTTTCAGGGCCAGCAGACTTCACAATTCTAAATGTAAAAACATAGCTTGTGTAAAGTAGGTGTGTGCGGCCTGCAATTGTTTCTGAAATAGGAGCAATACTCACATTGCTTTACTACTTTTCTAAACAAGCAGTTAAAAAGTTGGTTAGGCTGGGCATGGTGGTGCACTCCTGAAATCCCAGCAGCCTGGGAGCCTGAGGCAGGAGGATCAGGAGTTTAAAGCCAGCTTCAGCAACTTTGCAAGGCCCTAAGCAAGAACTCGTCTCAAAATAAAAAGGGCTGGGGATGTGGCTCCATGGTTGAGCACCCTGGGTTCAATCCTCAGTACAAAAAAAAAAAAAGTTGGCTAGGCCTCAACTTCCTCATCTATAAAAGGGAGTCACCCAGAGCATTCCATGGCAACTCAAGCACTGGGTATCTATTATCTGATGACAATGATGTTGATGACCATACAGGAAGACGTGGATTGCTTTCCAGTGTAGAGCCTGCTCTTACCTCTCCTGTTGAACCCCCAATCCCCTGTCCTCTGCCAGGTGTTACTGAGATGTAGAAGAAAATTCATATGGGAGGGTGAGCCATCATTTTTTTTTTCTTTTAAAAAACATCTTGGAAATTGGTGGTGGAATGTGGATTAGTCATCTAGAGAGAACAGCACGGTCCTGCCCCACTTCCTTCAGGTGGGAACTGAGGTTTGAGTCAGAAGGTGCCACATCAGGCAGATTCGTGAACAGTTCGGGGGTGGTGACAGTGTTCCTGAAGCCTACACACATTTCCTACATCCTGTATGCCTCTTTATAGCGTGGAGCAGTTCTGCTATCTAGAAACTGGGGTACTCTTAGACTCAACAGACACTATACTCTTCCTAGAGATAATATTTTTGGGGTTTCCCCCTTGAGATTGCCACATAAGATTAATGTCCCACCACGGGGCAGACACAGCAGTGAGTGGAAGAAAAGTGGATTGGGCAGCTTGACCGATGGGGACTCAAATCAGGACTGCATAGTTCTGAGTATGTGAATTTTAGACTCATTCATTTCCTTCCTGGAAAAAATGTGGGTGGTACCTGCCTCAAAAAAAAAATAGTTTTTTTAGTACTTGGCCTCTTACTGTCTTGAAAAGAACTCTGAGCCACAAAAGAATGGAGCCATTGCTGATCTATGCCAAATGGGGTCACTTCTCTGTAGGACAGACTGAATGATTCTTCTTATTTCATGGCCTTGAATCTTTCATATCTTCCTTTCACCTGCCAGAAAATCATTATCCATAAGAATCTATTACTCTGATAGAAAAAAAAAAAGGAAAACAAATGTTCTCCATCAGCCAGATGTTACTGAAGAGTTCGTGCTTGGCATCATGTGGAGGAAATAGACTAGTTTTCTTTTTTACCTGCGTGCTTGGTATCACATCAGTCAAGTCATTCACATAGCACTAGTGATGATTCATTCACTTTAGCTTCTTTATTG